TCCCTTCCATCGTTGGACGTCCTCGTCATCAAGGAGTCATGGTTGGTATGGGACAGAAGGACTCCTATGTAGGAGATGAAGCCCAATCCAAGAGAGGTAATAGAAAAATGATCATATGGTAGAAGCTTGAATGTTTCTAGGTATTCTCACTTTGAAATACCCAATTGAGCACGGTATCGTCACCAACTGGGATGATATGGAGAAGATCTGGCACCACACCTTCTACAATGAGCTCCGTGTTGCTCCAGAAGAGCATCCAGTCCTTCTTACTGAAGCTCCACTCAACCCTAAGGCTAACAGAGAAAAGATGACTCAAATTATGTTCGAGACCTTCAACACCCCAGCCATGTATGTTGCTATTCAAGCTGTCCTCTCCCTATACGCCTCTGGACGTACCACCGGTGTTGTTCTTGACTCCGGAGATGGTGTTACTCACACTGTTCCTATTTATGAGGTAAAATTTTTATCACTCGGATAACGCTTAGAATGTTTTAGGGATATGCTCTTCCCCACGCCATCCTTCGTCTTGATCTTGCTGGACGAGATCTCACTGATTATCTCATGAAGATTCTCACCGAGCGTGGTTATTCTTTCACCACCACTGCTGAACGTGAAATTGTCCGTGACATCAAGGAGAAGCTCTGCTATGTTGCTCTTGACTTCGAGCAAGAAATGGCTACTGCTGCTTCTTCCTCTTCTCTTGAGAAGAGTTATGAGCTCCCTGACGGACAAGTCATCACTGTAGGAAATGAACGTTTCCGTTGCCCAGAAGCCCTCTTCCAAGTATGTTAAACATTTTTTTTCCGTAATACTATTTGCTTTAGCCCTCTTTCTTGGGAATGGAATCCGCTGGAATCCATGAGACTTGCTACAACTCTATCATGAAATGTGATATTGATATTCGTAAGGACCTCTATGCTAACACTGTCCTTTCCGGAGGTACCACCATGTACCCAGGAATCTCTGACCGCATGCAAAAAGAAATCACTGCTCTTGCTCCAAGGTATCGTTTATTTTACGTGTTCATCATAGAGAATTTTTTTCAGCACAATGAAAATTAAGATCATTGCTCCACCTGAGCGTAAATACTCGGTTTGGATCGGAGGATCTATTCTTGCTTCTTTGTCCACCTTCCAACAGATGTGGATCTCCAAGCAAGAGTACGACGAATCCGGCCCATCCATTGTTCACCGCAAATGCTTCTAAACATTTACGTCATTTAATCAAAAATTCTGCCATTCGCTTTGTTCATAATTGTTTTGTGAGTAATTTTAACAAATGTTCATATAAACATATCTTGTGCCAGCTCTTTAAATCATGAATATCTTGGGTGGGATTCTGCGCGTTGTGCTTGCAAACTTACTGTAAGTCGAGAATCAGTAGTAAAATGATGAATGGTCAGAAAATTGAAAAAATAACAAAATTTGTCGAGATGAGTCAGCCGTGCTCAATGTTTTCTTGGAAAAGTTTTAGTTTTACATTTCATTTTGTGTTTTAAAAGTGAATCAGTTGATTCAACGAAACAAAAACAAATAATGAAAGTGAAACATCGGATTTCGATGAATCAAAGAAGATTCCTGTTCTTCCTATAACTGTGTGTGCTTCTGACCTTGTCGAATGCAAAAGATGAGCATTTCCACTTGAGAAATTATGTTACGTTCCACAACATTATCATTCCAACTCAAAGCGCTTTCCGATATTCCACAAATCCGAAAAAAAAAGAATTTCAGTTAATCACCAATTAAGCTGTGCTGAAGTACTTAAAGACTTAGACAATGTCTTCATAACAAAATAAAATGAAACAATAATAAAGTGAAGAAATATAAAAATCCAAACAAGTAGAACTTAATTGTTTCATCAAAATAACCTTAGTCATTCAATGAGCGAATCTTATGCACCAACAATAGAACTAAAGAGCTCTGGATAACGATCATTTTCAAAAATCACTCACGTCACTTATGTACTAAAGCGAGACTATTCATTCTCATGTTCAGCACCTCGCAGCTCGGTTGATCACAGTCAGCTCCTACCTATCAGTATTTCACTTCCAGAAACTATGTATAGCCATGAGAGTTTCAACGTTGCAGGAATCCTACGAAAAGAAGGTGTCGATGGTTGGTCTTAGTTTTATCTGAGAAAAAGAATATTTATTTAAGAAAAAAACAGAGAGAAAAAGCTGTGAAGTTAATTCTGTTTCTGTCAGAAATGCCGATGGTCAATCGACAAACACTCCAAACATTTATGGGAAAATCTCGTTCACGTTGAGCAAACAGAAAAGTGGAAAGGTTATTATGAGTGTCAACGGCCACTTCTAGACTTTGAAGAAGCTGAACGAAGTTTTAAACAGAAAAACAGCTGATTGCCAATTGAGTTATCTTTGCAACATGACATGACCGCATACTAATCAGAATGAAAAGGAATGAAACATTCCTAAAAGTAATCGACTCTGTTAGCTTTCATCCCGAAACTATCCGAAACTTGAATCGGAACATCATTAAATCAACCACTGCGAACAGTTGATTTGGTGAGTTTTTTTTCCAACTATTTTCCAGCCTCCTATTTGGATAATTGTTTTTTCCTGGTGTGAAGTGTTTCCCTATAACCTGAATGGTTTGGCTACGTTTGGATACGTTTGGCATGATTGTGATTGAAACAAGATGAGGAAAATTGATCATTTTTTCAAAAATATGAGTTCATTTCTTTAAATAGAAGCCACTTGAACTTTCTTGAAAAGATCTCTCCGGCGGACACTACTTTCCGCTTTAAGCTTTTCGCCTTTTGATTTTTTTTAACGACCACAGGCCAGAAGATGTAATTCTTCTGGCTTTTCTTGACAATTGTCACCGAAAAGATGATGAAGACAGCCTGACCATTTTTCCATTGCGTTCCAAGTGTGTCCACCATATTCTGGTCTTTAGAGTATCGAAGCTGACGCGAGCACAACAGGATTGAAGTGAGAGAGGCACAAAACGAGAAAACGATAGGACATACCGGAGAGTGAGAAAGAGACAATACATAGACGGGATGAAGTTCTTTACCTCCTTCTTCCTCCCTCCTTCTGTGCTCTCCGTCACCATCATCATCTTCCTCCACCCCACATCGTCCGATGATGACCGGCCATGACAGAAGCCAGCAGTCAGTTCCGCTCTGAGCATCCGGCTCGAGCTTTAAATTCATCTTCTACTTCTCTCATCCTATTTCAATTTGATTATACTATGCATAGTTATTTCATATGTCAGTTTCAGATTAATATGAATACCAGATCAGCTATATTATGGCTATCTCTATGCCCTATTGTAATGTCAATGGGCATCAACATGTTAGATGTGAGCTCGATGGAGCCTTTAACTGTTAATTATTGTAACAACAGGTATCCTTACTTCCTTATTCCTACATTATTTAAACATTTAGTGAATTGCTTGAACAAGCTGGTTTAATCCGATCTGGCATGGGTCAGTTTCTTGGATATGAGTGCAGTCAAGACTTCTATCACTGCCGGTGGCAGAGTGACGGTTTCCGAACTTATAAGAAAGAATGTAAAACAGGTATAGAGCTGATCCAATGCATCCCATTACGTCATTGTTGAAGGCCTTGTTTATGATGTGTTGGGAACCCAAAACTGTAATTATGATTATAATGTGAAAACGTGTGGAATGAGTGGAAGAGGTAACTTATTTTCCGTCGAAGCTTACTCATAGACGCAGTCGTGTAAAAAGAAAGACGAGGAAATCTTTGTTTATTTCCGAATAAAGTCAAATCGACGATCATCTTATTCAGCAAATGGTCGTGAATAATCTGTTGAATCTGTCAGAGATATTTCTCACGTCTGGTCGAAATGAGGAGATAGATGAGATGAAAAAAAAGTTGAACTAAGAATTTATATTGAAGGTCCTCAGTCATGTAATGGAACGGATTTCCATTGCCCTCTGAGTGGAAAATGTGTTCCTTTATCGAAGCGTTGTGATGGGCACTATGATTGTGAAATGGAAGAGGACGAACAGAACTGTCGTGAGTCATTTGTCGTTTTTCAAATTGATTGTTTATTAATATATTGGCGTGAAATTGAATAATTTTTTTGCAGCATTATGTACAGCAGGAGAATTTGCTTGTATAATCTCAGAACAATGCATTCCACTCGATCGTCGATGTAATGGAATATCCGAATGTAATGATGGAACAGATGAATTAGATTGTGATGGTAAGAAACCCATTTCTTATAATTCTCTTTTTGTGGAAAAAACATTTTTCCTGATGATCATGAACCTCGAGGCTTTTTTTCTCCTCATAAGCTGCTTCATCAGTATTGGTGCGAAAAAAAACAATCAGCGGGCATAGAATAAGACGGAAAAGACAAAATTGTGCTTTGAATGTCAGAAAATGTTAGAAAAAAGAAAAGTTCGAAATCTCCAATGTCGGACTGGTCATTGTTTGTCCAAAATCAACGATTTACGCACCTTCAACCTTATTTTTATGTTTATTTATTTTCCGTTTGCCAGATTCGAGCGAATTACTGGATTTTTAATTATTTAAATCCTTCCCCGAAAAAAAGAGGAGAAACTTGTATCAATATCAGCGATCTCTTTTCAGTTTGTGGTCATGGACTATTCCATTGTCCCAAAAGTGGTGAATGCATTCAAATTGACGAACGATGCGATGGTCGACGACACTGCCCGCATGGCGAAGATGAAATGCTGTGCAAGTAATTAACTTTTTCAGAAAAATAGGGAAAATAACAAATTTTGTTTGAAGAAAACCCTCCACAGACACCAAATTCACTTGCCAGTCTCGTGATCATCAAATCGCGATGAACCAAGTGTGCGATGGAGTACCTCAATGCCCTGATGGCTCAGATGAAGCTTACTGTGAAGTTCCCGCTTCACAAGGCTTATCTGGGTAAATAATTATATAATTTTTTTCTTGAAGTTTAATTTGTATATTTGAGGTCTTTCTCATCAATCCCAAGCTCTCCTTCTGTAGGTCCTCCAGCCCCTCAGCCTTCTTTTGTCAAGCCTGTTGTTCCTCTCATCAACAAGAATATTAAAGAAGATGAGGATTATGAATATGATGAAGTATTGTTTTTACAAAATAGATAATTTATTTTCAAATTATTTGAAGCACGAAGAGAGTCCATCTTTCCCAATGCTCCCTATAATGACTATGCCTCCAGTACAGTATGTTTTAAAAGTTGAACATTGAGGCTATTATTCTGAGTCTAGATCCACCCAACCCCCAGCCAGACCTAGTGTTAGATCAATGTCTCGAATCGTCAACCCACAAGAAGTAATATTTCAATTGAACTGTTGAAAATAACTAAAATTTTTGACAGAAAGTGGAAATCTCAGTTATGCCAGAAAAGCAAATACCTCGCCATTTAATTACTCAACCAGTTCATATTTCAGTTACAGCGCGTCCATCTGTAAGAATTCTCTCACAAAAAAACATTTCAATATTTCGCATGAACTATTTAGATTCCTCCGTCAACAACCAGAAAAGTTAAGAACCAGTCGAAAATGACGAGTCGGCCATTCGAGCAGCCAAGTACTGCTCCGAGACTATCTACAACAAGAAAAGGTAGATACAACCGCTCCGCACGTCTAACGAGGCGAAAATAAAGCTGAAACATCTGTTCAACGAAGAGTAATCTCTTGTTTCGCATGAATTATATTATTCGTTCTAATTGTTATTATACATTAATTGCTTATTTCAGCCGTTCATCAACCGCAAGTAACAACTGCACATTCAGTAATGGTTAAAGTAACTTCCCCACCTGTGCCAGCGACAATATCACAACAAAACATTTTACAATCAATAGGTTCTCAGCTCAATAATGGAATGTCTCCGTGAGTCTAACTCCTTCTACTGAAACATCATTAACATATTTTTTTGCAGCGAATTATTAGCCAAAATTGAAAAACTTTTGGCAGAAGCCGAAAATTCGGCGAATAAAAGACGCAAGCCCGTAACAAAGTATGTAGTTTCTCTTTGAAACTTTTATTCCAAAAAAACAAATTATTTACTATTTTCTCTTTTATCATGGACAAGAACTTAAAAAACATTTTCTTTTTGGAACAAAATAGGACATGATGCTGATGGAATAACAGAGAATGAAAATAGTTAATTGTCGTCTTGGGACCAACAGAATATCCTCTCTTCCTCCCTCTCTCTCTACTGCATCTGTAACGTCCATTCGTCATAAAAACGAGCAAAAAAAAGATTTCTTTTTAATATTATAACCTAAGAGAACCAAAAAATAAAATTTCTTTCCAGTGGACGAGATGCTGGCTTGTCTCCGGCAGCTTTAATGCGAACCTTTTCATCCAGAGTTCAGAAGCAAAACAATTAGTTTCTTTTCTTCTTTATTTGTTTTTTACCATTTTCGTTTTATTTTTTAATTTTATTTTTGCTCTTAATTATTAATTTATTTGATATCATCTTGTCCATATACATATGTGCCTTGAAACATAATATTCTTAATAATCTCATCAATATCACGTAAATTATATGTGTCTATTGCTTTTCAAAAGTTGTATTCTTGTTATCACCCCAGCATTTCGGCAGAGACAAAAGAAAAAATCGAAAAAAAGTTATTTTTTTTCATTCTCTCTCTCTCTTTATCTCTCTCTATCTCATTATCTATCTCTCCCTCTCTCTCTTTCTCTCTCTTTCCTTTAAACGGAAAAAAATATAAAAAGATTGAAAGAAAATTATATAAATTGCGGTAGATGTACAAGAAATATATTTTTTCATTATATTCCGATATCACACTTCTAACTCTTTATAATAATATAACATAAAAGAGGAAAGTATGCGTTTCCTTTTTGAATTCTTCATGTACTTTCACACTTAATTGCTCTCATTCAAAGATAAAACTTCATTTACTTCGTCTTCATTCGTGTAGTTAGTCTCATGAATATCATTTCTTCAATCTTCTCTCTTTCCAGATTCAAATGAAATTTTTACTTTTTTTTGTTATTATAAGCATTACATATGCTAATATCTTTAACGAAGACGTCCAAATGGTCATGAACCAAGCTCCAGCTTACTTCTATGAAAAACCTTATGGTAATTCACTTTTCTATTCATTCATAAAACACAAAAGAATATTTTAGTTTTTAAAGTGTTATATTTATTACCTGAGCAATACATGTATTCTTTGTACTATTTAGGAAACCAAGCTGTTTCTCCTTATATGAACACAGCGACACGAAGCTTTGGCGGGTTTGATGCGAATCTTCTTGATTCCACTGCCGGTTTCGGCCGAAGACGTCGCTAGCATAACTTGTGATTCTATTGAAACACCCTAATACCTGTGGTTGAATTGACCTTTGGAATTAATTTGTTCGACCAGTTCTTCCTAATCATTTGACAAGAAATATATTTCTAAATAAAGCCATTTAACATGTTTTTTCCTCTACTATTTCCATTTATTAATGCCTTCTCATTCATTTCGGAGGTAAATTTGTTTTTTTTGTTTTCAAAAGAAATTATTTATTCCCTTTATTTCAGTCACTAATGGTCTTTTTACCCATATTCAAGCTATTTTCCTCAATGATTTTTTATTATTTGTTTGATTCATTATCTTCACAATCGATATTCATCTTCAGTATTCAAGCTCTACTCGTAATCTCAGAAATGTCTCCACTGATTGGATATGGTAATCAGACTCACAATCTACTTCCTGCTTTGTACTCACTTTCAACACTTTCAGGTTATCTTCTACAGCCCTGGAGAATTCTTGAAATTTAAAAAAAAATTCATAAAGAAATTGAAAAAAAAAATAAAAAAGTTTTTTCTACTCACAAAAGTTATGATCTGTTTCCAACGAGATAATGATGTGACGAATATATAAATAAATCTATAATTTTGTAAGAATTACTATAATTCACATCATGGGATTGATTGAAAAATATGCATTCGAATAGATATATATGTTCAAAACCAATTTGTTTTGAACTGGCTACTTCCACGTGTGTCTTGTCACGTGCAATAGCAGCTATTCTCATTTACAAACAAAATCGGAAATGAGAACGGTTGGTTCCAAGGCTGGTGGTATGCGCACGTTTGTTCATTGCTGCTGCTATGTTACAAACTGAACTTTTAAAGTTTATTTGTGCAAAATGAAGGTATGAGTATACATAGCTCTTTTGTAAACCAATTAATTACTTACATATTTGATAGGAGAAAAAAAATAAAATAAAAAGTTGTAAAGTACACAGAAGGCGAAAAACAGATTTTCTTATCGTTTACAAACTGGGAAAAATGAAAACAAACTTGTTTCTTATATACTTTCATCGATTTTCATTTTCAAAATTGCCAAGCATTTTTTTGGTTGAACAAAAAAAAAGAAGAAGAAGAAGGAACATTCTGTTGATTATGATAATTATATAAATCCTTAATTGTATTTGATGGTAATAACGTTAGAACATTATATCTCTCTACAGTATGCTGTGAACTATGATTCGTGCCTCAATGAGGCAAAGCCAGCGAAGAACTCTAGAGAAGAAACGAACACACGGTCAATTGGGAAGGCTGCAAGGAAAATTGAAAAAGTTCAAAATCTTCTTTGTTGCCACGGAAATATTCTTCATATTATCGACAAATCTCAATACATATGAAGTTATGACGTAACGAACGTCCAGTCAGCAACAATTCTCGTCGTGGAATGTTTTGTCGCCAATTTTATTTTATTCTTTTTTTTCTTCTTTTCTTCAAAACTTTATTCCCTTTGAACGTGGAGGATGAGTGTTCATCTCACCATTATTTTTCTTTCTTTACTTTCTATTTTCCCAAATTCTGCCACTAAAAGACGTCTCAGCTTCTTCAGCCAACATCTAGAAGTCAAGTGATGCCCAGAGCAAAGCCCAGCTCTTTCCCCCTCTCTCTCTCTCTTTTCCTCTTGCCCACGGCCTAGGCTGCAGCAGCTTTCTGTCGTCCAGTAGAGAGGGAGAGAGGAAGTGGAGGAGAAAGAAAGAGAGAAAGAGCCGGGCAACAGCGGCCTCAGCAGTCGTCTTTTCAATTTTCAATTTTTTTTTATTCTTTTTTACTATTTCATGAGCTTTGCCTCTTTGCTTCTCTCGGCGTTCCCACACATATTGACAATCTTTCAGTTATTTTTTTCTTTTTTCCTCTTCATCGATAGAACGAACGAGCACATCGGCAGCCCACTCTGGTTTCTCTGATTCTCATGAAGCCTCTTTAGTATCTTTTCATTCTCTTTTCTCATATTTTCTCTTTCTTTTTCATTTTTTTCTCCTATGCATGTGTATTTCTATGGCAGGCCGTAATGTCTCTGGTGGAAGACGCAGACATATGAACATACTAACACATCAGTCCATTTTCAATGGCTATTCTATATTCGTTTTCACCTTTCAGCATTTTTCTTTTTAATTTTTATAAAAAAGGTTTTTATATTCCATTTTTTTCCTATTTCCTTGTGTCAATCGTTACTGTAGAAATTCCATTTAAACATGTGAAAATGTCTTTCTTGTAAACTTCTACAGTCTTTTCCTATCAGAAAGCAACGTTATGGTTGTTCAATTGAACAAATAAAATAAGCAAAATCATTACATTTCTGAGATTAAGAGGAGTGGTAGTAGTAGTAGAGAGAGGAGAAGAACAAAAAAAAACTTTTTTTTACTTTCTGTTTGTGTTCAATTCTATTTTTCTCGTATACTAGTTGATATTCTTCTGTCACAGCTGTTACGTTTTTTTTTCCGATGATTCGTTTTGAACGTCCTCCTCCTGTCTATGTTGAATTCAAAATAAAAACTGATTAAGTTTAAGCTATTGTCCATTTTATATATTCTTATGGTTATTTCAAACATTCCTTCCTTCTTGTTCTGTACATTTCTGGTAATTTCACTTTGCCTTCTGACACAATTTTATGAGCTGTCACAGCTGGATTGGCAGCAATTCAGACGACAAGACTTTAACAAAAACCTAACACCAACCCCCCCCCCCCTAACTTTCAAGTTAAAACATTAAAAAAGGTTGAAGGAGAAAAGATTAATTTTGGGCTGTCATTTGCATAGACAAATGTCTAAGTCTTCCCGCGTGAGCTATACACGTGCGTGGGTACCACGCTTATGCTAATGAGATCATTTTCAACAAAGCATACCTAGGGAACGGTTGAGCATTCATTTTTACAATAACTTTACACTTTCATTCTATATTTTTATTAAAATTGCTTCCATCAGCCGTTCAGCTCGATCAAACAGATATGAAGCCGAAAGAATTGGGAGTACATGAGAACTCTAAAATGATTCTCATCTTCACCTGAGGTGTGTGCTAGGTCTTTTGGGCATCCGAATACATTCGCTAGCCATTTTAGAACATTTTTTTTTCAAAACTTTCATTTTTCTTTGTTTTTCTATCTTTTTTTTTAGTCCAAAGAAAACGAATTGCTTGGCTGTACTGACGTTTTTCCCAAAATTGTCGTTCTCTCGCATATAAAGTTCTTTAACAACAAGTACAACTGTCCTTCGTCTTTCGGTCATTCAGACATCAACTCTCCATGAACCATAGAGAGAGGGGGAAGAGTAGAATGAGGGAAATATAGCAAAGAACAAGTAGAGCGTGGAGAGAAATGCACTCTCTGATTGTCCCCTGAGATTAAATTCTTAGAAAATCTTTCAGAAACAATTGACCATCAGTCTTTTCTCACAACAGATTTTTTATTTCCTGTCGGTCAATGCTTTATCAGAAAGATAAAGAGGAAGCATATGAAAAGGATATCCGTGTTGAGATGTACTGCCATTTACTTATTTCACTAATAAACTTAGATTCATACATCTCTTAAAAAGCTATTGCTTATTGCTTCATTAAAACAAAGCACAATAACAACATAACAATCAGGATGCAGAAGCTTAATCTGCATCACTTGTTTTCAGTTTGATAAAGATTTATGTGCTCACGAATTATATAAATTTCAAGAGAGAAGAAGTCTGAAATGACGATTAATGGACTTAAAAAACGTTTGTTCCTCTTTACATTGTTATTCTTTTATTTATTCGGTGAAACCAAATAGGAAAAATAGAATATGAAGCTGGACATTCCATAGTTTCATCCGCCTCAGCAGCAGCATTCTGATGTTCGGCTTACTCGAGCATTTTTTCAAATTTGCTTTTTACTGTTTCTTCTTTCTTCTTGCTGAGATTTTAATTCTCTCTCATACTCTCTATTTCTCTATTTCTTTGACATCTCTTTCTTTCTTTCAGTGTTTTTTGCTTTTTTTCATTCTTCATGCTGAAGCTCTATTTCTTCCCATTGACTATCCTCTCCTTCGTGGCATTGAGCATATCAAATTTCAGACCTTTTGGTTGTTTCATGATATTCTGTTTTCATCTATATATTCACCATTTTTCAGCTTTTTCCTAATTCCCACATGTCCACCATGCATATATTTCGACATTGAAAAGAAAACTATTTAAAACTATTGCCATGATTAGATATGTGATAACAAGCATGCATGATGTATATGCTTCATGTGTGTTCGGCTTTCTTACTCGATTAGCCTTAATGAGCAATCACTCAAGTAATCTAACTGCAAACAATCACAATCATGTTTTTTGAGCTCGCTCTTTCTACTACCTCTCAGGAGTTCCAGCAACTAATTGGATGTAAGAATCTTGCATAAACTATAAAGCTGTTGCTATGCATTGGTCATAGACATTTCCACCAATTACGAAACGCTCCATGTTATTTTATGGAACGGAACCCCATTCCATCCGGTCCCCTGCTTTTTTACTTATGTCGTTTTTCTGTTTGCGGCTTTGGCCCCCTTTAGCTTCATCGGTGCCTTCGCTGCTGCCGTCGTCGTCGTCGTCATCATCGTTTGTCGTCCGGCAGTTGTCGGCAGCCAGCCAGCCTCCCCTTTTCTTTCTGCATGGCTGTCTCCTCGGGATGCCCATATCGAGGGGTTCGGACAGACGACGACGACGATGTTTTTCTGTCGAGTGCCAACCGAGCCAGCTTTTACATCTAACAGCTGACTGCCTTTCCGCTGCTGCTGAAACTCTTTTTTTTTGCTTCTCGTCTGTTGCCTCCAGCTATCATGAAGTTAATACACATCTCTATTCATTTATGTTTCTCGTAGTTATTCTTTGTATATCTCTTTATCTTTCTTAGTGTTCTCTTTTCTTGACTTCGGATTCTTTTTTTCCTCCTTTTCCATTCAATTTCTTCAAAGCCCATTTGGACAACGTACTGGTCCTTTTAAGTTATTTCATTCTTCTATTTCTGTTATCTCGCGCTCTTTTTTGTGTTGTGTGTTCGTTTTTTTGGAAAACGGCAGCATGGCCAACCACACTGATGAGCTTTGGAAAGATTTCGAAACAAAACAGAAGATCAGCCTTCGACTTGCTTTGATTACTTCCAAGTTTGTTTTGCAATTTCGTCAATTCTCAATTCCCTCTTATGCTCTGTTGTCTGGTTTTCTCTCTGAAATGTCCAAAAGGAGAGCAAAAAAAAAAGAACGTGCTCTCCTCTACGGCTTAAGTAATTAGCATATTAAGAGAATAAACGATCTTTTGTGTAAACGGTGGATGCCTTCACGTCAAGCGACGTGGAATTTGTTATATTTCTAAACAATTACGGCATGGGGAACGGTTGTGCTTTTTTAGTGTTCGCATATCCATCTCTGACTCTCATCACAGCAATACAGCATGAAATCAATGTCTTCACAGTTGAATGAAATCTAAACTGAATGAAGAAGGTAAGAAACATAAATGAAACTTTTTTCATTTCTC